AACAATTGTCTGATTTGAACTTAAATATTGACTATTAAATATTAACTAAAAAAGTACCAACAAAATGAGTACAAAATAATGATATTCCAAGCCAAATCGATGGCTTTAGGCCTTTTCTATGGCCAGAGTAGCCATCTTCCCAGCTCTGACCGCACTTTCGAATCTTCGCTGTATGTGAAAAGCACCAAAAGCGCACACACACACATGCGCACACTTGGTAGAGACCCCCCCCCCCCCCCCCCCCCCCCCCCCCCCCCCCCCCTCCTCCCCCCGCCACCCGCACACACACCCGCCGGACTCTTGGGAGGCGGCTGTCAGTGAACTCCGATGGCCGCCGCACGAATACCGTTTCGTGACAATCGCCAACAACAATTGAAGGTTGAAGTTACATTGCTACATTGGCGGTGCGTGTGTGTGTGCGCGCCACAATGTGTGGCAGTATGTGTGTGTGCGTGCAACGCCATTCGGGCGTACCAACTAAAATTATATATATATATATGTATGTATGTGTATTGTGTACAACAAAAAAATAAATGAAACGGAGGCCACGCAGCCCCAAACCCGCACCTGCTGCATCTGCCTTGTGGCCGCCCCTCCCGCCGATCTATGCACCTCATTATTATTATTATTGGTATTAATATTATGTACTCGACTGTACGCAGAGGTACATTTTCAATGCCTTCGTTTTGATTGAGGAAATCATTTGAAAATTCAGTGAAATTTCAAAAAGAGAAGAAAAAAGTTAAAGGCCAATGGGCGTTCGTTTCATTTGTATGCGAGGGAGGGACTTTCCCCGCGATGGGAAAAACACCTGTGGGAAGGGCAGAGGAAGGAGGAGAAGGAGGGCATTTTTAGGTATTTTTATGGACACTTTATGATATCCTTGCAAGTGATTTTCCCCAACTTCTGCCTGTGATGTGGGTATTTCTTTGATTGCCAAAGATATTTATTGGTGGATCTGCTGCAGATAATGTCTATATCTTTGGGCTACCCTTTGAACTTCATAAACTCCATTTGAATGTTTAATGAATTCTTTTTCATGAAATAAAACAAAAGACTTAGGCAACGAACTTGTTATCGAATAAAGGTTTTGTCGATAAAAAATACCAACAAATACAAATATTTAGTGCCACACACAAAAATATTTGGAGCAGCTGAGCTGAGCAGCGGAGCCCCCCCTCCCCCCTCGAAAAAAGTGAATTGAGCAACGAACTTGTTCAACTGCATTTTGTGGGTCTTGATTAGCGGCCACTCCACCAGCACCACCAGCACCGCCAGCACCTGGCGGGGATCCACAACAGCAGCAGCAGCAGCACTCCGCATCCCGCACTCCTCTTTGGATACCCCATTCGGAGCTCCATTCCGATCCCGCCGAGATGTCTGTCAACGCAGACGACGCACAAAATGCGGGGGCCATAAAAATTAGTCGATGTTGGCGGAGGCTGCCTGTTTTTTATAGTCTACGTTTCTTCTACGGGACAGTCTTTTGTCTTGTTTATAGAGTGTATCTGTATCTCTCCCTCTCTATGCTTCGGCCCGTTTCCTTGGACAATATTTTCAAATTAACAACATTAACAGAGGAGAGACCTTTTAATTAAGTTTCTTCTGTCTTTTCTGTCTGCCTGGCGCTGGCTTTGGCTTTGGCTCTGGCTCTGGCATTGGGAAACTTTATCGATTTCTGTCGCTTGATTGGTCAAACACTTTTTCGATTCAGTTTCAGTTTTGTTTTGTTTTTTTTTTTTTTTGGCTTTTTGGCTTTTTTGGCTCTTGGGTTTCTTGGTTTTCTTTGGCGACACACAGACATGTGAAAGCTCTGTTTTCTGTTACAAAAATCGTCTAAATATCCCACCGATCAGGTGCCCGTCGTCCGTCGTCCGTTGTCCGACGTCTTAACTGCCTTTTTAGCTTTCGCTCGTTATCATCGCTCGTTTGTGACCTCTTCTTTTGGGGTTTGGTCATTTTAATGGTCTCCCCCCCACAGAAAACCAATCCACAATCGACAAAAAAAAATCAAAAAAAAAAAAAAACTGTGTTCCCATGATTGTCGCCAAAGTGTTTTCGTATCATACATCCAATACGTGAGATTGTTTTTGTTGCTGTTCTTTGACTATTTTCTGTTTCTGTTTCTGTTTTTTTTTTATGTATCTGTGCTCTGGTCTGTGCTTTATAGAGGGGGAGGGGGGCCCTCTCCTCAGATACTCATCAAGTTATCCATCAAGTATTGTACCTATCCACCTCCCTCTCTCCCTGCAGAGTCTTTTCCTCTGTGTGTCTTAGGCGCTTAAAGCTTTTTAAGGGTTTTTAAGATTTTTATCTAACAAAACTCGCTGTGCATACTTAATTATGTATTTTGAAATGTGAGACAGGTTCGCGCGGACAAGCGGACAGGCGGACACCAGGCAGCGTCGTAGCAGGTAGTACAGTATCTTTATATCTGTATCTTTGTATCTGTATCTGCCCGTACCCTCTGTCAGGCATTGGGAACCAACTATTTCTAAACTCGGGCGGGGGCTGCTACAGCTACTGTCGTTGACAAAAACAAGTGTGTGTGTGTTTGGTTTTTTGTGGGCACAACACGGCAGCGGCTGGATAGCAGGTGCAGTACAGTCTTTTCGAGATTTGTTTCGAAGGGCGGCAGAATGTCAGCGGAAGGTTAAGGGGCATGGGGGGAGCTTGGGTTGATGGGTACAAAAAGTAGATAGTTTTCTGTGCTTGGGATGCATTTTTTTACAGTTAAAAATAGCCACATGAATTTGTATTTATTTTTTAAAGAATTTAGAACTTGAATTTGATTTTATTTCTAGCAAATTATTCATAGAGTATTCGTAGATTAATTGTGCTATTAACTCGATCCTTAGTCTCGCTCTCTTGGGCATTTCCCGCCCTCTAATATTTTGTCAGTATTTTTCATTATAGACAACCTGTACACGAACGATTTATTTATCGTGCAATCCTTACCCCCGACGCGCCGCCCCATAATTTATGCGCTGCAATGACACTTGCTCATGACCTTATCGACGTCGTCATCGTCATCGTAGGGGCCTGGGACGGGACCAAAACCGAGCCAACTTTTGGCCAGAGGCATACACACACACACACACACACAACCAAAAGGCAATAACAACAATTAAGCATGCAACAAGAACAACAACTATAGAGAGGAGAGGAGGGGAGAGGAGAGGAGAACGAACGAGAGCCATGGAATTGTATTGTTGCCATTTTTCTTTATGGTTTTATGCGTTTTGGCATAGAGTTGGAGCCGAGAGTCGGGAGAGTCGAGTACGAGAGTATTCGAGCAAATAAATCAATTTATTTCAATTATAATTATAGGCTCGAGTGCAGGCCCAGGCTCAGGCCCAGGCCCAGGCCCAGGCTGTATCCAACTCTGGAGGAGAACTTCTTGGTAGAGGCAGAAACTCTGCTGTTGGCCCTCGGGGTAGAGGTCCTCTTGGCCCCCCTCCCCCATCTGCCCCCTTGGAGCCGCGCGTGGCCAACTGCTCATTACTTTTGTGGCAGCACACGCCCCTCCGCTTTCGTTTCGCTTCGTTTTGCTTCGTTTCGGGGTTGTATTGAGGCGTAGTTTTGGCCAATTGTTGAAAAATGAAATGGCCTGGCACATAGTTATGTCCTCTGTATCAGCATCTCTCTACCTTGTGGCACTCGCGCATACATGTACGTTGCATGCCACATGGAGATGTATAAATTGCAGCATTTTTTGCTCGTGGTTTTTGTTGATTTTAATCAATAGAACCACCAATGAATGCCACATGCCCCCATGTGCCCCCAAGTTCAGTCAAGTGTCTGTTATTTATCTCCCATGCGCTACTTCACAACTTTATTTTATTTGAATGCCTCGAAGCCCTCGGTTTCTTGGGTCTCTTTTGGTTTTTGTTTCGGTTTTGGTTTTATTTTCCTTTGCAAATTATATGCATTACGCATACGCATCTGGTAGGTACGAGTACTACCTGGTACTCCTCCTACTGCCTTTTGTAAATTAACTTATAAGTGGAGGAAGCCACCCCCCGCAACCCCCCAACCCCCCCCACCGAAAGACGGACGAGGACTGGCCTCCAAAATGGGTTGCAGCGATGCATGCGATAAGCAAGTGGAATAAATGAAGGTCTCACTGCATTTTTCATTGATATTTGTGGCAGGGATTGTTCGGGGACTGCCATGGAACCTTGTAGCTTCTGGGGAAAATGGATCTTGGACTTCCATTTACTGATTTTTGGTGGAAAAAAAGTACTCATTGAAGCTCGAAAATTTACATTTAAATATTCCATAAATCTTGGAATCGGACTTCATTCGTCAATAGGTCCAGTCTTGAGCTTATTAGAGGAAGGATTTGATACAAGATTTATTCAGATATTTATTTCCATATTTTAGTCCTGTATTTCCAAAAAAAAAAAAACAAATTTGAGCAAAATTTTTTTGAAAAATATTTGAAAATATTTGTACTTCAATGAGATAGATCTATCCATCCATAACTACTCTATAGAAGGTTTATTAGACCCCATATTATCCCATCATGGTTAAAATCCCATTATTTTATTATCACCGAATATTTTTGTTGAAATTTTCCAAATGTATTCAGAGTGTGTTCTTCGGTTAAACCCAAGAAACAAGCGCCTGCGTCATTATATCTTATCATAAAAATATATTCTTTAATGCCGCATTTCTTAAATTATTATACAAAGAGCGACAAACGTTTGCGGGCTACTGTTAAATGAGCCTACACGTTGTTGAGGTTGAGGTGGGGGTCCGGGGTCCGGGCTCCGGGGGGATCTGTCTCTGGTCAGCAGCACCGTGTCCGGGGCACTCCTCTTTTGGGGGCTGCCTTCTAACAACACTTACAAGTGCTGCCTGCCTGCCTGCCTGCCTGCCCGACTGCCTGGCAATACACATAATCTAAAAAGCAGAAGCAAAAGCAAAAGCAAAAGCAACACAGCAACAGAAGCCACAGCCAACCGAGCGACGGGCAATAATAAAATTGAAACTGATCGCATTTCAGAATTCCCATCACGTCGCGCAGTTTATTAAAATAACTTTGGCTAGAGGGACGACGCACAGGAATGAACGGGAGGGAGGGTGGCAGGCAGTGCGGTAGAGCCGAGAGAGGGCGGTAGGGGGGGAGTTACCCCCATCACCTGCTATGCGGTAAAAGAAAAATTAGTTTAATCATAAAAATGCTCGACATCGAAGCAGCAGAAGACACAACTCCAGCAGCTACCTGTTTTTGCAACAGCAACAGCCGCAACAGAAGAAGATGACTTCAATTAAAAGCTTTTAACAATATCACGTACAACAAATCGTCGGAGAGGGGTGTCCGCGGAGTAGATCGGGGCAGATCGGGGCAGATCGGGGTGTATATAGGAGTCTGATTACATCACAGTCCTGTGGCGGCAGCAGTCCCTCAATGGATGGCTGGACGGGCGGATGGATGCTTTTCGGTCGGTCGTCTGGTTATCAGGTGTAAAGCATCGCGCACTTTCAAAGCGGTTTCCCCGAATCAAAACGCGTTTGTTGCTTGAGTCTTTCGTGCGCAGGGTAGCTCAGGGCGGGGGGTGTTCGGTGCTGCCAGATGCACATCACACACGTGCCACACACACACCACCCCCATCAAAAGTCAAGGATGCGGCCGGTTGCAAGATCAAACAAGAAAACTGCACTCTGGAATACTCTCTTTAAGATGCGGCAAAAGTTCTTTACATGAAGATGCTTTTTGAGGGACTTCTCCTGTGGTTCCTTCCGTAGTCACACATTCTGCTGCTCTTCTGTCCATCTGCCCCTCCAGTCACATCTTCTGCCTCTCCAGTTACATCTTCTGCCCCTCCAGTCACATCTTCTGCTGGTCCCTCCTGCAGTGCTCCTCCTTCAGTCACTGATTTTCCTCTTGCTGCTCCTCCTGCAGTCACATCTTCTTCTGTTCGTCCAAAAGTTAATAACAATAACCATAACATTTATAATAATATCAGCAGCAGTCGCAGCAGAAAATAATATTCGGCGCATGCGCAGCTTTTCGCCGTTTCGTTTCGATTATAAAAATTTCATTTATGCCTTATGGGCCATTTGCAATTTCTTTGCAATTTCGGCCAACAATTTTCGTTGCTGCTTTGTTGTGCTTTTTTTTTACGGTAAATAAATATCCGAATCGCTTGGCGCGTGCGTTTTATGCAATCATCAAAATGGCGTTTATGTTTCAATTACAATTTGTTGGCTCAAAAATATATACAAGTAATACGAATTTATGCAGGGAATTTATGTAGTTTTAAGGAAATTTTAAGCAGAAAAAAAGACGATTTGCGGTAGAAGATGCTGCGGAAAATGATGGAGAAACTTGGGCCATAGAAAGATCTGTGGAAATATTGATAAATAAGGAAGGATACAAATTTGTGCAGGCATAGAAGGCCAATAATGTTGAGATAAATGTTTTTTTTTGTGAAGAAAAGTTTGTTTGTGAGAGAAAAAAATGCGTTCCGAAGGTGAAAATTCTTCTTTTGCGCTGGTAGTTTTTCACCCTTTGCAAAATTTGTGTATCTTCACCTTTTTGCAATATTTTTTTACCTAGTTTTTCACCTTTGAAAGCAACACTTTTTATGGCAAGGTCAAGGAAACCCACCACGACGCTTGTGCCGAGCAGAAATCCACCCCAAGCGACCTCCACTAGGATGGTTTGTGTCGAGGCTAAGGCAAGGGTTAAGCGGGCTTCCACTTCCGCTTCCTATACGAAACTAGAGACTCAAACTCCCATTGAAACGCCGGAGAGGAACGGAGCGGCACACGACGGAAAACACAATTGGAAGAAGAGTTGATTGGCCTTTGATGTGTCGGATGTCACAGGAGAGCGGAAGAGTGGAGAGCTGGAAAAAAAAGTGTCAGTCGTCGGGGAAAATGTGTGCCACTGTTTTTTGTGTGTGTGTGTGTGTGTGTGTATTTTGTGTGTCGCTAATGATATGCACCCCTCGGACGCCGGCGAAAGGCCACGACCCGCGATGGATATCGTTTGACGCATACGTTTTTTCCTTTACTTTTTATTTTATATTTTTTTTTCAAAGGAAACAACAAACAACATGCGTGTACGAGTGAGGGAGAGGAGTACTATATAGTGCCATAGTTTGCAAAGTTCTGTTCTGTTTGAAGTTTTCCTTGGGTCGCCAAGGCCTCACCTGGGCCTCCGGCTCTGGGGCACAGGAAGAGCCCATGCCCGGGCCCGGTCCCGGGCCCGGGCCTGAGACCGAATCCGAACGCAAACGCGAACGCGTTGCCCTTTTGACTGCATTATGCAAATGGACTTTGAAAAACATTGAGAGATTTTTATTGACATATGTATGTTTCTTACTTCCCCTTTTGTTCGGGAGCTCTGGAGTTCTGGTGTTCGGGGGTTCGGGGGTTCTCGTTTGGGTTTCCTGTCGCCACTTTAGTGGGTGTGAACAGAGTTTATAATTTTTCAGGCGATATTTCCCTCTGATTTTGGAATCGGATTTGGTTTTTGGGATGCATTTGAAATGCGATTGAAAGTGAGAGCCACGCCAGAGCCACACCCGTACAAAAGTGAAGTTTATGGAGATTTAATGCCTTAATGAATTATTTATTTTTCTATTTCCCCTCAAAAAAACAAGCAGGAAAACTCTGAGATCTGATGAAAGTGAGTTAAGCAAATGCAGATGGTAAATGGTATATTTTGTGGTTCGGATTTGGGTTTTATGATTGGGACAGGCTATAATTAAATGTATCATTGGTGTGTCTTTAAAAGCGAATTTTTATCGGTTATTGGATCATCTTTGGAATGATTTGGAGAGAGAACTTTCGAATGTTTAGGAAAAAAGTGATTTTACTCAACTTTTGATCAATAAAATGTACTCTGGAAGGTTTTTAAAAGATGTATAACTAAGGTGCTGAAAGGGAAGGTTCTTTCAAAGGAATGATTCTGGATTAGTGTATGGAGATCTATATATGCTATCAAGTGTTTCAAACGAAGAAGTTTTCAGTAGACAGATTTTATTTGTTAGGATGAAAATACTTAATTGAATGATCTCTCTGCGAAATAATACTTCTTTCAGGGATTGGCAGGGAACTTAAAGTGCTTTCAGGGGAATAATTTCTTTGATAAGCTCATGAAGGGCTTTTGATAAATGATCCCTTGGAACCTATTGCTTTCCATCTTTGTTAATATATTATTTATTATTTATCTTATCTTTAAAGGTTTCAAGTGAATCTTTCAGTGTAATGTTTTATGTTAAAAATGGGCTTCAACGGAGTAATTTTTTTGATTTTTAAGACTCTTTTTTCAGAGCTATACTGGTATGCAAAAGTCCTAGAAAAATATGATTCTTCCGGGAAGACTTTTACTACATTCCCTTCTCAAGTGGTTCGCAACATTTCCAACCTTGTTATCACTTTGGGTCTCTTTTAAATATGAAAATCCCTTCGTAAACCCCCCCTCCTGCCGTCACCTACTTAACTGCTTAATGGAGGCCGTCGAAAGAGCCGCTCGCTTACCCCACAAGTCAGCAAAAAACATCCATACACACATACATAGGTACATGCTACAAAAAAAATTGTGTCCAGGTGTTGCAATGCTTTTATTTTGTTGTTGTTGTCGAAACCTCCTCTATGGCTGGCATTCGCCAATAATTCACGACCCTGACGGGGCCGATGGGCTGATGGTCTGCTGCTCTCTGGCTCTGTGGCTCTCCGCCTATGGGACGTGTCACAGCGCCGCAGAGATAAATTAGTTAATAAATAAAAAATAAAAAAGGGGGGGAAAAAAAATGCCAACTAATTTGCATATTTGCCCTTTGCACACGCGGGGTCTCATTGACAGGCCGCCCGAAAGGCGAAAGGCGAACGTCGAACGTCGAACGCCGAAAGCCAATGAGGCGCACCAGAAAATGCATTTAAACCGAAAAGCGGGACACGACACCCGTTCCCGTTCCCGTTAACGGTTAACCCTCCTCCTCCTCCTCCTCCTCCTTCGGTATCGACAACAATTGCCATTTTGTGCACCGTTCTACAAATTTATTTTTGGCGGGACACCGAAATTCTATTTCTATTTTTTTGGGCCTCAAACTAATTTGCATATGACAGAAAGGAAGCGGCAAAGGATGTGGCAGGATGTGTGCTGGAATTTGGCAAAACTCAATGATGGGTTCCTCTCCCTGTAGGTAGCGAAAGTGAAAGGATTCAAAGGATAACCAACCGAGAGAGAGAGAGACAGACAGAGACAGACAGAGAGCAAACTCTGCTTTGGGTTTTTTAACGGCCGTTGCATGCAAAATTGCAAAAATTGAAATTGCAAAAATGATAAATGGATTGCATGCATCTCTCCGTGAGATTCGAGGGATTCCATTCCATTTGCCTATATGCAATTTGCCTACGTGAGCATCTAGATATTTTGATGATAGTTGACCTTGCCGCAAAGAGAAGAAACAACCAAAGGATAATGGATAAAGGGTTGCGCCTCAAGGGGTTGTCTTCTTCGGGGCTTCTTCCTTTTTTTCTTTTTGGCGCGCAAAAAACTGATTTGGGATTTGGTTTTTGGGCATATGGTAAAAAGAGTTGACCGACGCGACGCGACGAAGAAGTTCGGTAGGCAAATGGATTGCAGGATGAGAACTGAGCATGATGGCAGGATGATGTGTGTGTCTTTTTAATGAAACGTTTGTTTGCAAATGAGCCAGAGATACGAGCGAGTAGGGTGGCGGCAGCGGATCTGTTGGGCAGGGGCAGCGGCAGCCAGGACTTCGGGGAAGGGGCACAAATGAAGATGATGTAAGGATTATTTGCATGAACTTTTGCCAGGCAGATGATGTAGGTAAGACACACACAGAAGACCCCGAAGAAGGGATTAATTGCATGTGAAATGCTAAATCGATTTAGCTTGGGTTACTTCTTAGGATAACCTTTTGGCGTAATGGACATTTCTTGTCATATTTTCGACGTTACTTTTTTGAAATATATGCTGTATGTAGAAAATATTTGTTGAGGAAATTATCGCAGTCAAATCTCTCTCCGAACGAAATATATACTTGTATTTACAGGAAATTATGAAACCAATAAATCTCAAACTTGAGTATGTATCCATATCCCTGTAGGATCTACCCATACAACCAGATTCAACAAAACCTGCTGATCCAAACCCAAGTTACGATAGGTTGCCAATTCATTTAAGGTTTCTTTTGCTTCTATTTGCTGTAAAATTAAGAGAAATCTTTAATAAATGACTTTATTTTTAAATATAATCACTGACCAAACGAAATATAGAATATTTATAAGAAATTGATGAACCAAACATGAATAATTTCAATTATCTCATACAGATCTCCAAAAATAACCAGTTTCAATAAAATCTGTTAAGTCAACACCAAGTTACGGTAGGTTGTCGTTGCATATAAGGCTTCGTTTGCTTCCAATTGATGAAAATATGAAACCTTTCAGTAATTTAAATAAAATAAAGTGTTTTTTCAATAAAATTTGTGTTGAGATGCATTAAAATTCACTTAAACAAATGAAATTGCTTTGCATTTGCCACAAATTAGTCGCCGGAATACCCTCATTCCAGCCCAGACAGCTACATATATAGAGATACAGATACGCAGATA